TTTTTGGGGCAAATGTTTCGATCCTTTTTGGGGCAAATGTTTCGATCCTTTTTGGAGCAAATGTTTCGATCCTTTTTGGAGCAAATGTTTCGATCCTTGTTGGGGCAAATGCTTCGATCCTTGTTGGAGCAAATGTTTCGATCCTTGTTGGGGCAAATGTTTCGATCCTTGTTGGGGCGTTTGTTGGGGCGTTTGTTGGGGCGTTTGTTGTGGCATTTGTTGGGGCGTTTGTTGTGGCCACTTTTCCGGTGTCAGAATCGGTATCTGAGTCAGACGATGATTCGCTATCTGAATCGGACTTGGAATCGCTATCTGAATCGCTTGATGATGAGCTCTTTGATTCGTTGACCGGTGCGCTCTTTGGTACGATATCTGGTTCGCTATCCGATTCGGTATCCGATTTGAATACTGCTATGGCACCTCTACGGGTAAGTTCTCTGACAAATGCATCGGTCTCTGCTGCGGTATTTTTATTGGTTGGTTCTGGCTTGGCATCTGATCCAGAATCGGATTCAGTATCTGATTCAGTAACTGATTTGGCAACTGATTTGGCAACTGATTTGGTAACTGATTTGGCAACTGATTTGGTAACTGATTTGGTAACTGATTTGGTAACTGGCTTGGTAACTGATTTGGCAACTGATTTGGTAACTGATTTAGCATGTGGTTTGGTATCGGACTCGCTAGCTGAATCGATATCTGATTCGGACCATGTGGCCACCTTGATGGCTGCCTCGACCGCATCCTTGACCGCTACATCTGCCGTTGCCTTTGCTACCGCTGCGGCCGTTTGCTTGAGCACTGCATCGACCGCTAGCTCGCTCGTAAACCTGGCCAATGCCGTGGCCACTGCCTGGGCCAGTTGCTTGGCCATTGCATTGGCTGCTACCCTTGCCAACATCAATAGGCGTCTCTCTTCCTTGTCCGGGGGACGGCCTTTCGGAGCCGATGCCTTGCCGGCACTGGTCGCCAGATTTTTTGGGATTATCAGATTATCAGTGTATGGAGCGCGACCATATGGCGTCTTGCGATTCGGATCGCAGCCTTGGGGAACCGTCTCGCATGGACACCGCAACGGAATCGTAATTTTATCATATTCAGCGAGAATATCGAGTATTCTCTGGCTGCAAGTGCTCTTGACTAGCTGCTCTCCCCTAGTTAACTTGGTCTTGGTTGTAATGCAGCAGTGCCTCGGCGGCGCTCTGCGACCAACTAGTCCCGGCGGCTGGAAAACGGAGTGAAATTTGTGCTAAAAACTATACTACTCAACTAGACTCACTATGGGCCTTAGATAATCCGCATACTGTTCCCGCAACCTTTGTGTCCGCGCCTTGCTCTCCCTCAAAAACTTGCTGTCGACTTCATCTTCAGATGAATCTTCGAGATTCATGAGTTTACTGATAACGTTCATTTGTCAGGTTTTCTATTAATTGATTTTCTCTTGTTTTTTTTTATAGTTATATGTATTATAAGCTTTTATTATTATTATTATTATATTACGCGATTTTCGGTTTTATATATATTTACTTCGTATTATTTATAGTATATTATCTACTGCGCGAAATTTTTATTATTCTAAATTCGGAATTTGCACTTACTTTTCGTGCTTTTGGATATTTAATTTTTTTCACAATTTGTTATTTTTTTTTTTTTTTTTGAAATATATTTTTTTTTGACTGTTTTCCTGCGCACTACCTTCAGCACTGAATGTTGAGCAGTCTGAAAATATAGCACAAGTTTTAAGCATTCCAAGGCCTACTTGGTTTTCATATAGTTTTTCATAAAGTTGACAAAAAAAAGGGGAAATATCAATTTGACATAGACGTCAAATAAACGTCAACTTCCACAGCATATCCGA